GATCTACTTGGATTATACACCCAAGGTTTTTTATATATATTTTATTGTGAAATTTCTTTTAAAATGTATCAATTTTTTTCCATATGCTCTTGTTTTGCAACGACCGTTAAATACTTTGGTTTGGAAAACAATCTGAAGTAAATAGTGGCACCGATATTACATGATTACTGCATATCTTCAGGTTTAGTTAAAAACAGAAAGACTAAGAGATTGAGTCATCGTAGTACTAAACAAGCTGATCAGGAGTGATAGGTACCACCAAATTAAATATATCTATATTTTTGAGATTAGGTATTACAATTATTTACACTATTTACATTGTTTGATCTGCTGTCCACATCTTCGTTGCCTTATTTACGAGGTTTAGCCGTTTCACACTCCGGCCGTCTTCAAGTGATTTGAATTTCGAAGTGAGACCTTTATTTCGTCCACCGGGATATGTTCTTCTAGTTCCACGTGCCACATCTCTTCCGGATGATTCGGTAACAGTTATCGCCCTTTTAACACAACGCTCTAAGTTTATTATTTTTTTTTGTTCACATCTGCTGTAATCAGGTATTGAACTCGCAACTCTTTTTGTTAAGAGTTCATTTCGAAATACCGACACCTGAAGAAGGCCTTAGGGTACAATGACCGAAACGTCTGGAATATGACAATAAGCATAAGAACATCTGCCCTAACAATGTAAATTGTTTAAGTATCCAAATGTCTATAAATCCCCTTTGTCGTTCAGTTTTCGTCTAGGAAAAGGAATCTTGACAATTTACCGAATCAGTGACGCCTCCCCACAAAAATCCACCGGCATTACATATTAAAATATCTTAACCTTCGTTTCATTAATACAATTGACGCCATCATGTTTGCTAGAGGATTCATCATTGAATTAATCATGCAAAAGAGCAGAGGTGCGCTTTGTAGGCTACATTTATAAGGGCTTTGGAAATCCTTACTGTGAGTTAAATATGCTTTCAAATAATATGAACACCAGGAAAGAGATATAGAGCTATATCAAAATACACTCGTTTTCTTGCAGAAATAACTGTTCAAATGGTCAAATTAAGTTACTTTTGATTAATTTGAATCCCATTTCTCCTTAAAATTACAGGATATACACAACAAATTAATTCATGTCATAGTGACATATTTTAAATGATAATGACTGAGCCGGTCTAAAAACACATGAAGAGAAACAACACAAAATATTATTTTTCGGATACTTTATTCACTATTTTAATACGGGTGAACGACATGTTATTTGAAATTTTAACTGTTAAAATAAAGAATAAATACAAATGACATGTTTGCTGAATTTAGCAAAAATTGTTCACCCCCCCCCCGTACACACAGATGTGAGTGTGTGTCGATATGTTTTCACTGGTTAGTTTGTTTTAGCTTCGGCTGTCGTCAACCATCATGGCTGTTGGTTTTGGTTCGAAGTAGATTGCTTATTGATTCATTTTATAGGTAATATTTTGGGTATTTAGGAAGAGTTGTTGGATTAGCACATTAGGAATTTGGTGGGGGTTCTTATTATTTGGAGATAATATTTATTATATGTTTCTGCCACCATTAGATGCTATGTTATTTATGTTGGATAATTGGGTTTTGATTCGCATGGCTTCAAGTATGTTAAGCGCTTTTTGCATTTGTTTTGTAGAGGATTTCAGTATTGTTGATAGGATGTTTCTGATTTCGGAGGATTTCAATCTGTTACTGGCGTGTTGTTATAAGGTGATTTTCTATGGCGCAGGTGTCATTAAAATGGTATATGTGTGCTTTCATGTCAAATTTACTCGTTATATTATTCACAAAAGTGAAGCTTACACGTTTCTTTGTATTTTTTTTATCCAATATATTGTGTTGCGTGAACCCGCACTTAAAACATTTTGGTATGGAAATTGGCCTTTTGTATTTTTATGTAAATCAGAGCGATTAAAAATTTCCTACACTATATTCTTCATGCTTACTTTGTAGAAATATTAGATCAGTGACAAAGCAATGCTTCACTGAAGCCAGCATTAAAGATCTAACTAGTAATTCCTGTTAGGAAAAGTTTACAAAGTACAAAAGTAATGCTTTGTGTTAAAAGTCAAAGCTTTGTAAATCCAGGAAACCTGATGAATTAAAAGGACTTTTGAAGAGACTCCAAACAACAAACGACCCTGCAAAATAATTAGGTGTGAATCAGTTGCCACAATCATTGATGCATTATAAAAGAGCTTTTCCTTGATTAAGGAAACCGAGTCGTGATTGCGATGCATGTCAACCGTTTTCATCTTATTAAAATTTCCACACAGCCAGAAACCATAAAGGTGGCATGGGAAGTCCTTTGCCATGCATCGTATTCTTCGGATCTTTTATCTTCCGATTAACTTTTGCTTTGCTTAGTGCAATATAAAGAACAATCTTAATATATTCAAAATATATAAGAATACAGAAAAGAAGAATTCAACTAATTACGAACAGAATCATGATATTCTGAGGAATTACACAATCGATCTAAAAGTTTGCATCAGAAGACTAAAGAAAGTGTTCGATGACATGTATCACTAGTAGGTGGAAGCTAAATTTGCAGTGAAAGTGAATTTAGAAGTTACCGTCAACCATTGCAATAAATTATGTAAAATTATTTGAAAGACAGAAACTACATTGCTAAACGACATTTTATTAGGATTATCGTGGTAAGTAGCTTCACAAAGAGAAAACGGCTGAAACAGTCGGATGATCTTCGTGCACAAATCGACTCTTAACAAAATCCACAACATATTTGTTGACTTCGTGCGTTTTCTGCAATGAGAAGAGAACAGGCATATGTATTTTTAACCATTAAAAAAACGATTAGCGCTGAGGTCAACAATATGGAGAATCGTGACGTGTTCAAAACCAAATCCTCCAAGAACCCAAGAAAACCGATGTGTAAGATATCTGATGAAACAAAATTGACCCTAACAGCATGAAAATGTTTTGTGTCTAAAATTATATACGAGGTCGCGAGGAATTCTCGGAGAATCTATGAAGAAGAGAAGCATTGAAAGTGGATTTTACTGGTACGGTACCGCAAAGATTATAGACGAGTAAATCTTATCAGTAATCAGAGTTTTCAAAAAGCAAAACGACTGCATAGAGCGCTGAGTAAATAGATGATGTGATGGCTATATTCATGACAAGTTATTCAGTTGGGGTTAAGGTTTTTTTGCGTTGTGGCCACCGCAGGATTACTCCAATTCTTCAACATTTTTTTTTAAAGAAAAGCCGTTGGATGTGCCTAATACAAGATTATAAGGTACCATTTCTTGCCACGATATTTGATTCAGCATGGATGTTGGATGGTATACCATAAAAATCAATCAGTACAAAGCAAAACGTGTCATTACTTACCCTGCTTGAAAACGCAGAAATATATCTTGAAGAATGCCTCGAGGAGGACCAATGATAATTTCTTTTCACCTCAATATTAATATCCTTAAGACTGCCATAAGCAAAGTGTAGGTCCGAGGGTAACGTGCTTAGGAGTAGTACAGATTTTCGAGATCGTGTTCGGGCGTTATTTGAAAATAAATGAAATCACTTCGTTTTGATATCGTCTACGAGTGTATTAATATCGTTTTGTATTTATGCACAAATTTTATAGACAATACGCGAGTTTAGAAGGTAAATAAATCTTTGCAAGTTATGTTTCCTTAAATTGATGTGGAATAAGTATTAACAGAAAATGCTGTAAAATGAACATGAATACTATTTCTGACTAGCAACATGGCCCGGCGTTGCCCGTGCTCGATTCAAAAATCGTACGACTCATACAGAAATATCGCTATCACTTGATGAGAGTTGGGAAATGCAAAGTCGGTCTTGGCCTTTCAGCTAACTTGGAGCATGTGCATGTACATTTTGGTGCAAATCTGTCCAAAATTGCGGGCGTGCATTCGATACACACACACACACACACACACACACACATCCTGCCTTTTATAGATAGAGATAAAATTATTTCATCTTTTCAACTCTAATCTCACTGGATTCAGATTAAAGCTGAGAAAACCGAATTATAAAGAAATGTATTGCACGCAGACACATATATCGATTCGTTTTCTATAGATTTTGGATCCTTTGCAGATAATTTAAAGTCAGTAAAATTTCACTATTTAAACCATATCTGGGAGCCAAGATGTGGATTCATACATTCCCAAGGTTATTTCCGCGTAAGTGCATGTAACGAACCCATCTGAAATCGGAAATCTCCGATTAACAATTCCAAGCCATTATCCATTACTCCACCCACTCTACCAAGCTTACAACAATTGGTATTCCCAACTGCTTCCACCATCTAGCCACTGACAAATCTTGAAGTTGTTTAACTTCGGTGATCATCATGGTAACTAGCGTTTCAATATGAAGTGGTCGTAAGCATCTATAAGCAGATATAAATGGTTTTAAAGAAAATTTATGAATAACTGATGACATGGTCGGAAGGAAGTTATATGTTCATAATCTTCCAATTCACTATGTATAAAAGCAATCAACGCCTGAATGAATAAACCAACCTATCGATTCGCTTTAGCGTAAACTTGTTGATTTCATGTCACCTTTTTTCTTGCTTTTAATACATTCCTAGACTTGTATTTAGCCTATTTTGCTCTTTGTATCTTTAATACTTTTTCTTTCAAAGACATTTTTTTTGTTTCTATATTTTTTTTTCACCAGTACAAATTTATAGTTCCTTTCTTTTTACCATATATTCTCTTGGTCTTTCATTCTAAAGTAGAATTATTTTTCTTTATTCGTTCTTTTTATTTTTTATTTTTCTCTTTCATTACTTGATTTCCGTTTTATCGTTTTCTTTCACTCTTTGATTCTAATTTTTTTTTATTCCTGCTTTTAATATTTCCTTTCTTTTTACTATTTCGTTTTTTTCTTTATATTTCCTTTTCTAATTGCATTTATTTATTTTATTTTTTAAATTTTTTCCTCACTATGCATTTCCTTTCCTTTGTCCTTTTCAGTCTTTCTTTGCATAACCTTTCAATTTTTCTCTTTCTTTCGTCCTATTTCCTCCCTTTTTCTTTTAAGTTTAAATTATTTTCTTTCTCTTTCGCTTTCCTTTGTTTCCATGTTTTTCTCTTTAATCTTTCCTATGTCCCTATATTGTTCCTTTGCTTTATTCCATATTATCCCACGTTCTTGCTTTATATGCCCTTTCTTTATTCGCTATTTTCCTTTCTTTTTCGTATTTTACTTTCTTTTTCGTATTTTTCTTTTCTTTTTCGTATTTTCCTTTCTTCCATTTTTATTTTCTTTTTTCCTGCTTTTATTTTACTTTCCTATGTTTTTTTTTATTTTCGTTACTTTTATTTTTCCTATTTTCTTTCGCGCTCTTTCTCCCTATTTACTGTCGTTCAATCTGTATTTTCCTTTCATTTTCCCGTATTCTGTTCATTATTTACTTCCCTTTTCCTTACTTTTTACCTCATATTTCTTTCCTTTTTTTAAGCTTTTTTACTCTTTTTTCCCCTGTTTTGTTTCTCTCTCACACACGACTTTTTCTTTATATTTTCTTTTCTCATATTTTCTTTTCTCTTTCATTTTCTACTTTTCCTTTTTACATGCATTCATTCTTTCTTCGTTTAATTATTACCGTTTCTCTGTTTTTCTTTTGTATGCGATTTTTCATGTTTTAGACTTTCTATCTACTTTATTTGGCTCATACAATTATCAATAGCTTCTTATTTTATTTTAATAGTATTTTTAATTATTTTGCATGTTATCATTTATTGGTTATTTTTCTGTTATTCTCTCTTCATAAACTTATTTTTTTCTCACCTCATAAACTGAGAGATACATTCTTCAACGAATTTATTTTTGTTGTTTTTCTTCTTCTATCATTCAATATATTTGCTTCATTTTTTTTTGGGGGGGGGTTATTTCTATTACACTGTTCAATTTCCTGTTCACTTTTCTATTTTCTCTTTTGTTTTCTATTTTTGTGCACAATCCTATGCACCTTTCTTCACATTTCCATTCCGCCATTGTTTGCTTTTTGATGTCGACACTAGGCTTCAATATCGTTTCATACCCTAGTGAAAAGAGCCTGCTGCTAGAATTACGCTGATTGACGCGTTGCAGTCTTTCGCAGGATGCGCGTTATGGCTTTTTCATCATAACTTGTGTTTTATTTTATTTGTATTTCAATAGCTTTTATGAACAAACCGGCATATCTCATGTAATAAAAGAGAAAGGCCTGTCTGTGGAGAGACATCGAATGCAGCAAGAACTCTTTACTGAAAAGTGTCAAAAATTAGCGAATAAATGTCTCTACAACGGAATATTAGAGGATTTGATACGAGCTGTCTACATGAAATTCATGGAGCGAAGGAAAAAATAGAGAAAAGCGTTCAATAATAATGATCCAGACACTTGACGTTAGAAAATTCAGGCATAAGACTTTTATTTACATCTTCCATACATCGCGATATTTTTGTGAATGGAACAAATATCAAAAGCATAGAGACTTGAACATTTCACAGAAGGTAATGAAAGGCATTACCAAACACTTCGGAATATTATGCTGTTGATATTTTAGTGTATTTTTATAAACTGTATTAGATAGTATAAGAGAACATTTGTCAAATTCTTTGAATAGATCAAAGTGTTACATATTTACATAGAATTTATTATGTAATTATATTTTTTATCATTCCACAATAAAATAATGTTAAAATTATAGGAATCAAAATTTCATTCATTTTTACATGTAAATTATGAAAACATAGCCGCATGACCGAGTCGACAGAACGTTAACTTTCTGAACTTCTGAGCTGGGTTCAAATTTCACGATGTTCGATTTAACAGGGACATGATTTCTTGATCCTACGCTACCGGGTAAACAATGCCAGTATGCTTCAAAGTTGGCAAGTGCTGGAAAAATTCCAGTTTCGGTCCAATCTTTCGGTTGTTTGTCAACCGAAACCTTTCAAGTGAGCGCGAAGTCACAAATATATGACTGGGATATCTTCTTTTATACGCCGTGTCCCTTCAGGACGTAGGCAATCATCACCCTCCACCCCCTCCTCTCCCTGGTAGCTCTTAATATGTTTGTCTTTTTGTTATTTCTCCCAGACCCTGTTCTTCCATCCACTTCCTCAAGCCCATTAAGTGTGTTAGACATTGCTTTCCCCACTTTCCCTTTATCCGTCTTGTCTGTATCAGATTTCCCAAGCCCTCTTTTTCTCGTTATATGTCCTAGATAACATCAGGAAGAAACAAGTAAATTTTCCTCTTTGTTTCCATTGTCTACAAAACCTCATCTTTGCTTACATGTCCAGCCCATAGAATTCTTAGTGCCCTGCCGTAGAACCACATTTCTGACGCTTCTAATCTTTTTTTTCATCTTTGAGATTTTCCAGCATTCACTGCCATACAGGAGGACAGATATAAATTAAAAAGGGTTCAGTACTCAGAGAAAAGAGCACTGAACTGTTAGGTGATATATATATATATATATATATATATATATATATATATATATATATATATATATATATATCCCTGTATGGATTCAGTTCATTCACTTTCATTGACACTGTAAAATGTCAAGAAGGTCTGTATGAAAACCATCATTTTCGCGGCACAAAATGATGCGGCGCCATGTCCTGTTGTTGTATGCTCTTCATTGAGCGGGGGCGTGTTTGGTTGGTCGCAACTCGTCTAGCCGGTGATCGCTGGTCGTTTCACTTCAATCCTCCTCTTCTCTTGATCGGTGTCGTGAGATGTTCTTTGGATTCAGTGAAGGAAAGCATCAACAAAGGGAACTTTTTACTTGAATATTAATTTATCAACTCCGTCGATCTCAAGTGGGGGTTACTACACGTCCTAATAAGGAGCCGCTTCCAAACACAAAAATCTCACACGTTCATTTTCTTTGACGTGTAACAACCAAATCTCGAAAGACCTTTCCCCACTGGGGTGGAGTGGGTTTTCACAAACGCAATCTATCAAGTCTACTTGGCCTAACGTCTGAACAGTAACTCCTGTAAAACATTAATCTATAAATCTTTCCCACGTTCGTCTCAGCTAATCAAAATCGACATCCCTATTTTGTCTGCCATCTGACCTTAAAGGTCAGCTGCAGAAGGTCTGAACAAAAATACACTGCTACTAAAAAAATAATAGTATGAAACTATCATTTAATATTAACAATTATTTTACGAAAGCTGTGCTTTCATGATTGTTTCAAAAAATCTCCGAACGGCCTTCTTCAAGTTAATATGCAAGAGAGCTTTTAAATAGTAAATTGTATTATATAGGGGTAACAATACTTTCGGACCTCAGTGTATATCTATACATACTATTCTTCTATTTGTGTCTCTCTTAACGTGAGAAAAGACTATGATATAAATATTTTTTTGAAGAGATGGTTAAAAAATAATTAGAAGATTTAATCTGAAATGGATACAAAATGAAATTAATTATTACATTTCTATCAGCATTTATTTATAGTTATACTCGTGCAATGGAATGGATGTCCATTGGCGCCCTGACTAGTGGAGTTATATTCAAATTTCAGTCGGCAAAATGGACATTTGCCAATATCCTCTGCACTGTATTTTAATGCATGTGAATTACATAATACCAATAGAAGTCGAAATCATTCAGCTGACGAGGAAACACCAAACTTTATGTGGTCCCGGAGATTCCACTGGTGATAAGGCGCTAGTTTAGGAGAATTTTATTTCTATATTACAAAAGAGAGGTAGTGGGAGATTAATATGAATAATGTCAACCGGAAATCGAACTTGGCACATTGATTCTGATTCCTTTTCAGAAAGAGAACTGTAAGTTCGTTTTACATTTGTGCAAATTTATGTAAAAGTAAAATTCTGTAAAACGGAAAGAATTGAAAGTAGAATAAAAACGAAAGATCTAATATAATAAAAGTGTTATAATGTATATTTAGTCGATCTTAAACTCATAATAAAGCCGTTTCAATAGCAAAATAAAAATCCAAAAATAAACGTAACATTGATATACTGAATCTAATTAGAAAGAAATACAAGTCACGTGAACTGAGAAATTGAAATCAAACCCAAAATTTGTTTTAATTGTTAATTCTTGTTCAGTATTGAGAGTAATTTGATTAGTTCCATATTTGTATATTTTCCCTCTCCTACTCTGTTTTAATTACGAGTTTGATTAAAATAGTTACGCTTTTTATTGGATTTAAAGTATACTCATAAAATCATTTTCCACAAATAGAAAGCACCTACGAATATATCGACAACTGGTCAATTTCTATTTTGGGATCATATTTATATTTTTTGTTATTTCTAAAACCGAATAAAAAATAGCTTTACTATTCATTTTAAAAGCTTTTTTTAATAGCTGGATATTTAATAAATTTATTCAAATATATGATCGTCGTAATTTATCACTAATATATTGTATGAAAACATAGCATTGGCAATGTGATTGAATTTGTAAAATTTCGAAAAATGCTATAAATATAGACACAAATATTTAAACAACACATGTCATTTGTATTCTATAGAACATGCTTTCCTATGTCTGGGTAGGAAGAATACTCATATTTTTATAGAGAAAATGCTGCTCAAAGAAGATGGCATTTATTATTGCTATTAATTTCCTTAAATCCAATGGCGGTTAGCGTCAACAGCTTTCTGGATAATAGCTTGCCAGCGGGATTATCAATAGGTTTTAAAATATATAGTTTTATTTTAAATTGTTGTATAGGAATAAAATGTTGCTGCTGACACTTGAGTTTGAACACATAACAAGAGAGCAAACACAGGCAATATCATGTTGAATAAATAGATCACGTGATGGTAAAGGGTTATATATATATGGGAATTAGCGTGGCGTCTAAGTGATCACTATTCAGTCGTTACTTTTGGAGCGAGTATTATCGAGGAAATACTATCAGTGCGAGTGTTATTCAAAGGCGTCTGACACCAGTATTGTTCAACGGCGTTACTATTCCGGTATCCGCGATTATAAAGTCTCTACTATATAAGTGAATGGAATCACCAATCCATGTCTTAATATCTTTGCCCGACTTCATATTGTTGTGTGTGATTTTGCTATAGTGAGTATCACGCTGGAACATAAGATTTCCCATCTAAGGGACTTGATGAAAATAAAGACTACACATACCAGTTTGCTATTTATTCCATGTTTTCAGAGATTAGATATCGATTCATGCATTTAACAAGCGTATTAGTTCGAAACTGAATGAGGTGAATTCTATTGGAATTCGATTTCGGATTTCCATCTCTTGCTCCAAGAATCTCTCACTACTTGCAGATAAATGCAAAATCGGCTTCATGTATGTGTCGACAATATCTTTTCAATTTAGTTTGTGTTAACATAATTAGCGATAAACGGATTAAAATGTTGGCAATAAAATCTTCCTTGCTAATTTGCAACGGAACATTTTAAAGAAGTTGAATAGATTTGTTCAATTAACAAAATCTTTTGTCTCACCAGATATTTTACTTATGTTCAAAATTATTTCGCTGATAATTAAAGATCCTTGATTTCTACTAAGATTTCTTTCTTTGAGGCAGTCAGTGTGCATCTTAAATTACCTGATACTTTATGCAGCATTTCTCTTGATTATATTGCTTCTAACAATTACATAATTTACTCTAGTGTTACATCCGATAAAAACACTTTGAGAGTCAACACATCTTTCCGCATACTTGA